GGGTGGGGGAGGAGGAGGGGAATCAGCAGCTTGTCAAGTTTTGTCACCAATTGAAAGTTCAGCTTCTTGTTTTCTCATTTTTTGTTGATGGTTGCTAGGTGAAGAGTTTGCTGTTCTCCGATGATGATAGGATTCTTGAGAAAAATGACCAAACCCCAGTCACTATTGCAGACTTCGGGGTGCAGGCTTTGGTCAGCTTGGGTGATCCATTTTTATTTTCTTGAATTCTTTATCATCTTGGTTGATTAGTTGACTTAAAAGTGAGATCAGTTTTCAACAATATTTTGTAAAATTGGAAGGAGAATAGACAACAAGCATGTTGGAGGTCTAATTTGTCTCACCACATAGTTTTTCCTCTAGTAAGAATGTTTTTCAACCTATTTATAGTTCTTGAGTTGCTTCCTGCCTCATACAGTAAATACGGTAGGATGCATTGATACGGTAAGATGAAGGTGGCAGGATGAGTATTATTTCGTGAGTCAACTTCCGTACATTGCTGCAATTGATTTCTCTTCATGACATGCATTTTTCTTGTTACACGAAGATGTACCTAATGAACTATCAGATAATATAAGAATGGTCAATCATGACAGACATTGTTTTGTTTCCCTTCTGACACCCTTGATTATCCTCTTAGCACAGAGCTGAATCGTTTCTTTTACTCTATCACTTCCTTCTCTGATAGAGATGAACAGACTCTTCCCGTCCATTCCTTTGGTGGCTGAAGAGGACTCATCATTCTTGCGGTCAACTAATCTAGTAGGAGCAGTAGTTGATGTGGTCGCGAATAAAGCAACTTTTAGAGACGAAGTAACAGAAGATAGTGTCTTGAAAGCAATTGACAGAGGGGGCAAGGATGCTTATAATTTTGGGCCTAACCCAGCCACGTACTGGGTAAGTTGAGATCGACTCTAGAGTAGTATTCACTAATTTTCGCAGATAAACTCTATACAATCTTTAAAACCTTTACATTAAGAAGGAATTTCTGAGAAAGGAAATAATAGATTTTCCAATTCCACTTTGGGGGATACACCTTTTGTCATGCACCTTTCATAAAATTTCATGGTCCTGGTACAGGTGCTGGATCCCATTGATGGGACGCGAGGGTTTGTTAAAGGTGTTGAAGCTCTCTATGTGGTATGTCTTTAATCTATTTTTCTCTTATTTTTCTTTGTTTCTTGCCGTCTTTTGTTTTCTCTTTTCTTCTTTCTAACTAACATAAAAGAAAGAAGGGAAGATTGTCACTAGTCTAGGTATTCTAATTATAAAATACCATTAGGGGTCGTTTAGTAGCTAGTAAAGAGGTAGCTTATCGATGTATTGATTTGTGTGTAAGTTATACAACGTTTGATAGTTAGTTAGGATATAAGTTATTCATGTATAAAATTAATACAACGTCTGGTTTGCAATTTAGAAATCTGCAAACTAATATAGGTATAAGTTATGAGGGAATTGATGTATTATCTTATGCGGGATAGAAGATGGAATAGCTAATACCTACATAACTAATACTTGCTTAACTTATACCCACGTAAGTGCATAACTAATACCTGCATAATTCTAATCAGTTGCTTAGTGCCCAAGCTAACCATCTCGGAGGAACTTCAGTAAAGAGAACAACTAACATGTGGGGTTGTTTTCCATGACTATGCCCAAAGATAGCAAGTAAGAGTTGCATAATTGATTGGTTTTAGAGTGCAAATACAGATGCTAAATAAACTCTCTCTGACTTCTCACCACATAAGTAACCTCCAGAGTACAAATGAAAGCTTCTTTTGTGAAGGTTTTCATGTGTCAAACAGGTCTTCTTGGTAACGAAGCATGAGAAGAATGCCCTCCTTATAGGGAGCTTTTATTCCAAATTTGCCTCCATGGTCATGAATTACCCAGTTGACCACCAGCTTTTAGAGACGAGTAGCAGGATTTAACTGTGAAGCATCCCTTATTAGGAGCTTTCTAATACATCATATCCTGACAATGAGCTAAACTTGAAAGGATTCCAAGACTTTCAAAAATTCAGCAAGTCTGCCCATCTCCCAATCATTCAAATGTCTTCTGAAATTGAAATTCCATCCATCTTGCCCTGTATTAGTGAGCAAAGTGGTGTCAGATAACAAAATTAGTCCTAATAAATTAGGGAACTGCTCTTTCAAGCCTCTACTAACGGGAGAGCCTCCATCTCAAAGTCCTCTCGGTGCTAAGTAAATCCCAACGAAAAATACATAATCAATGGACCATAGCTAATCCAGTTACTACTATGGAAAGCAATCTTCCTGCCATCACCCACTTTGAAACCAATATCCCTCAAAAAAAACTCGACCATAAAGCTCTAATAATTTTCCAAATCCCCAACCCATAAGGAGCAGGCACCACCTTTGAATATCAATGTCCTTTAGAGACAGTTTTTCATCAGTTGCCTATTTCCATAAGACATGTTGTTCTGAACTAAATCACCACAGCCATTTCATCATTAAACTGTTGTTAAGTTGCCTCAGGTTTCTAATGCCCAGACCACTCTCTTTCTTGCTAGCAGTCTGTCACGCCCCAAGACTGAGGCGGGACGTGATTGGCACCTGATCTAACTCCCCATCTGGTGAACCCTGTACCAAATTGTCTGGCCATGGAGCATCACTGAATCTGAATTAGGTACTATTTTTTTTATAACCTTGGTGTCCCAGAATTAGGTACTGATTTTTCCTAGTTCATTACCCACAAAAGGCTACTTTTCACTTAACAGGGAATAATCCTGAAAGATGCAGATTATTTACTGGTATTATCCTTTTCACCTTAAGGTTTTGATGTATTCTGGTATAGCTCAACTATTTCCAGCAGCTTACTAATTTTCAATGAAATTACTCTATAGTATGGGTGGTATTAGTTCCATTGCTTTCAATAATTTCTCCCTACTCATCAAAAGGGCAAGAATTCATATCAATTGGTGAAGGATGGGAGGAATGATGTTATAAGGGTGAAACCTTTATTTTGGAATTACAGTGGACAGCGTGGTGTGGTTAATCTCAAGCTTCACTCGTATCAGACTTCTCTTTTTGTCTCTCTCATCCTCTTTGGTTTCGTTCCTTTTTTTCTTCCTGACAACACGTTTCAGGTTAAAGTAATCAATGTTTCTCCACAAAGAAGTCTTCGTAACCAAAGAGTCTCCGACATTATTTACATAGCTTTCCATCATAGCATGTTCTTTAGGATTTGTGAACTGATTGAATTGAGATTATACCTCTTGCCATTTCTTCAATTTATTTGGTTAGGTTTTGTTGTTAGGTGGCTTTGGCTCTTGTGGTTGAAGGACAGATTGTCTTGGGAGTTATGGGGTGCCCTAACTGGGATGAAGACTACTTTGTTAATTGTGTCACCGGGGTCCAAGAAACTGGAAACAATTTCTCCAGATCAGGGATGATTATGGTTTCTCACGTGGGTTGTGGAACGTGGAAACGAAGGTTATCGGACATGTTAACCATTGAGTTGTCTCAAAGTTGGACAAGATGCTTTGTCGATGGATGCCAAGTACTTAAGGAGGCACGTTTTTGTACTCCAGAAAGTCAAAAGTGGGAATCTTTTCCTCTATCATCCTCATTTAATGCAAAAACAGACTCTGAAAAAATAGGGAACGGAGACATCCTTCTTGTTCCTGCATGCTGTGGAAGGTGATGTCTTCTTGTCAAAGATAATTCTCAGGCATTATTTTAGCAAGATTGGTGCTTAGATGTGTGATGAACATTGTCTCTTGCCTACAATTGACATTTAAGTAATGTTTTCAAACTAGATAGACCTCTGAAAATGTGGATGCATTTTGAAATAGGAGTAGACAATCAAATGAATTGTGATACTAATCTCATTAGAAAAAAAAGGGTTAGATAAATGTGGAGCTGAGGAAGAAAATTACTATAGCTGAATGAACCTATCAAAGCATTTTCAATTTGAATGCTGGTCACAAGCACACTTAAAGTAGTCAAACGTGTGATAAAACTGGTTTTACATCATGTTGGAAACCTATTTGTGGTTTCTGATATGATTTGAGCTGATGATATACTCTGAGCATAATTCAACACTCTATTATCACGGATCTTATACATACAAATGCAGTGAATATCTTAATAATTGTACCTTTGTACAAGGAATTGTATTTGTTCATGATCATCAAATTGTCTGAACCACAGATGGGAAGGGTAACATCTGGGAGAATATTCACCACCACCTGATTTTATCCTTCGATCTTTGTATTTCTCTGTTTCAGGAACTTAGAAAAAAAACTTTTTCCTTGGTTTCAGGATTTCTTATTTGTGCCTGTAACTGTTAAGCTTTCTTTCTTCACCAAAATTGCTGCAACTATAGAGATATTAGTGCTGGTAGGCATCTTCCAGATAGTTGTTTCATTGTGTACAATGGGTTTTCTTCAAAGTTCGTGTTTTACTTAGAATAATATTCTGGAGGAGGGGGAGTCTATTGCGTTTTGCAATTTCTGACTTAACAATGTGATATTTTGGTGCCTGCTATTCTTCAATGTCAGTCCATCATATCTGAAACTATTTGAGTAAAGTCCATCATACCTGAAACTATTTGACCAGGATATTGGTTACATTAGTTGTCTTCAAGTTACTTATATAGCATCAGATTCTTGTTATACTTGAAAAAGCTCACAATCCACAGTTCGTTACTTGACCTCTGTGACCACACATTATTTCTGTTATTGATCTCCATCTAAGATGATTATATTTGTCATTTATCTGTTTGATTAGTTTTGTGAAGCACCACCAAACACCAGCACACCATTTTTCTATGAAGGAAATTTGTTTGTTTTAGCAATATTTTGTTATTTGCTGTATGTGGAATATCATCATCTAATTCATTTTCGACAGAGGTTCGTGAATTACTTCCATTAGAGATTGAGGGACACTATTTTACATTACCTCTGGACAGAATCACGACAGTCACATTCTGTATATTTTTCTGTGATGCTCCAAATTAGACTCCATTGGATGAATTGTTCAGTTGTGAATTTACCATAATGTTTTTTGACTCTCCTTTTAGGGTTAGAAACTAGTTATGTTGTCACGTTTTTTTTATGGGTTTTGCACATTCTTTTAATGCAAGTTTCTTCTGCTCCGCAGTTTGTGCAAATATATGATGGTGGCTTCTGGTAGAGCATCAGTTTTTCTTCTTCGTGCAACAACCAGAAAAGTTATGAAGGTAATTTTTTAATCTCACACATTACAGATAACTGCAGTCAAGTGAACTTGTGCCTCATGCCATTAAAGTCGTAGGCTTGTGATCCTTTAGTGGAGCCCCTTGTTGTTAAGATGTTTTATGGTGCTAGCACAAGTTTTACCCTGGTTAATTTTCTACAAACAATAAGAGTTAAATTGTATGTTTACTGTATGTCTGAGTTGGCTAGGAGTCTTTCAACCTTGTTAGAGATTTACGCACGAGTAAAAATAAGAGACTTCTGGTAGTAGAGAAACTGATGTTATAAATATTGGATTGAGATGGGTCATATGGAGCGCCATGGAAAGTACTGATTCTTATAGCCATCCCCAACTAGCTTGAGCTTGAGCCTTCGTTGTTGTAATAAAGAGTAACTAGTGCAGACTTTCTTGAGATAACTAGTGGAGTTACATTGGTAATGCTACACATTTCCATGAACAAGAGGAAAATAGGATACTGCAAACTTTCTTGAGATTATGAGAAAGGCATACTAATTTGGGTTTATAGTCTGTGGTCCAAACTATTTGCAGAAACGAGCCTTTTGAGGTTTTCATTACAACTTCATAACAAGCAATATATATATTTTACAGATTGTTAAAAATGCATTTATGCTATCACATTTGAATAACAATTTACTTCAATTTTTGGCTCCAGAGAGCAAAATTAAACGAAAATAATTTCATGGAAATTTGATAATTTTGTCGTAAAGTTGTTTTTTTCTTCCTTTGTTGGTTACTTCAAGTTGACTGGATTTACTCAACTATCCATCTACTGACACCACTAGATCTATGTGTTAGCATATTCTTTCTTTTGGGTGTTCAATATTCTGATATGAACATATGACTCCACTGAAGAAAATCTCTGGCTATGCCCCTGCTTGGGACCATGCTGTTGGAATCATATGTGTTCATGAAGCTGGGGGAAAGGTATGTGTCTCTCTATTGGTATTCCTTTTCTGTTGTGAGTGTCTATGCGTCTCTCTGAAGGTATTCTTTTCTGCATACGCATTAATCTTAAGTTATCTGCTTATAACTTCCATTTATAACCAGTTCTTGGGAGAAAACAAACAGCTGGTAATTGGTATAACTACCTTTGGATTTGTATAACTCAAGATGTAGGCATCAATCTTCTTTTTCTTTTGGCCACTTCTAATGCAGGTTCATATCAAGGTCTAATGGATATATTTGAGAACTTGAAAATTGGTTGGGAGGAGAAATCTTTCATACCACAGAGCATAATTCCTGCGGTTTGCCTTAAAAGAAAACAGAGTTTCCCAAATTATTAAGGCCCATAAATCCTTAATCCTTTGGAGATACTTATTTTTATATTTGATAGACATTGAATATTCCTATTAAGATAGAAGTATGAGTAACAAGACAGGTTACATTATCTTTCTCATGGTGATGTAATCATGAACATTTGGCTTAAAACATCTGTGAACTGCAAGGAAGGGTCTTCATATTTCTGCCTGATACTCTTTGTGATAAGGAAAATGGAAGTGAAGTGACTAAGCGAGGGAAATCTTTTGAGCACTTTTGATTTCATTGCTTGATTCTTGTCGTTGTAAAGATTTTTTATTTATCCTTTTCCTTTCTGATTAAGGGAAAATGTGTATACTACATCAATTAACATGAATCTCTGTTTGGCAGCATTCTTTCATTCATAAAAATAAGCAAGTCTAACTTGCTATTAAGCCTATTATCCTAGTTATTCAGCATGCTTGCAAATATTTTTCAGGTGACTGACTGGGAAGGAAGTTCAATTGATTTTGCAGCAGATCAAGTTGCACGGAGAACTATATTTCCGTCTGGTGGCTTTCTTGTGACGAATCATTGTTTACATAATGAGATACTTGGACTCATCTCTTCAAATTCATCAATCAATTGATGGCTCAGGTGTTCTGGTGACAAATACCTCATATTCTTTTTGTAATCTGTATTTTCTTCCACCAAGCCATACAACAGTATTTATTTTTAAAACCCTGATATCCAGGCCATTGAACAGTATATTGCCATTGTTTCTTAGCATATATACTTGTATTCTTTGGGCCTCAATTGGCTTACTCTTCCACTTAAACATCCTTCAAGTAAGGGATCTTCATGGAGAATGATTTATTTATCATCTAGTAATATACACCCTCCGTCCACTTTAAATTGTCATGTTGCGCTTTTCGAAAGTCAATTTGACTGATTTTCAAAGTTAAATTAGATTACATTAATTCGATATTTTAAACAAAAAATTTAGATATTCAAAAACTATATGAAAAGTACTATAAATTGCAATTTTTTGCATATCAATATGATGAAAAAATACATTTTAAAATGTTAGTCAAAGTTCCTATAGTTTGACTCTAAAAATAGAAACCATGACAAACAATAGTGGACGGAGGGAGTATCACTTCAGAAGTGGGCTGTCATCTTGTAACACAAGCATTGCTACTCATTTTTATCCATAACGATCCGAAAATGCCATTTTTTTTTTCTATTTTGTAAATGACAATAAAAGATCTTTTTCTCAACAAACAACATTGTCCATTGTCATTTTAAAAATCTGCGCAACATAATGCAGCGTGTTATTAAGAAATTTTGGCCTCTCTCGTTACGAGCATATTGAAGATACTTAAACTTGAAACCAAGCATCTAATTTCTACACATAATTAACGTGGCATCTTTTTAAGTTATCTTTGATGTTGTAAGGTGCAATGACTTTTATGCAGCTGATACGTCCCTGTTTATCGTCTTATCTTTTATTAAGACACTAATTTAAATAAAATAAGGGGCATTAATGGCAGAGCATGTTAATGGTGTTCGAATCAGCTTTCGCTAATTTCAAAATATATATATAATGATGAGAATGCATGAGCGTGCATTTCTAGGCTCAGAGTTTTCTCCAAATTTAAAGTTCTGCTATTAATTAGAGTCAAATCCCTAAAATATTTATATTTATACCATGATAAAATAATTATTTGCACTTTTGGCCCTGGCCAATTAGACCCAATCCTTGTGACAATATTAAATTTCCCCATTTTTTGTCCTTCATGAGACAACAACACTGTTTGTGGTTCGTGTTTCTTGCATTGAAAGCGCCCTAAATATTACTTATTATTATTATTATTATTATTATTATTATGGACTACTAGTCACAATGTGCCATCAACTTATTGGCTCTTTCGATGGAAATTCTACTTATGATCATTTTATAATATTTATCATATATAATTCATAGGATCATTCCAGAATTGTCAACTGTTCTTTGAAGTTATCCACGTATACCCAATTAAAATGGTACTAAGAAACTGGTAAATTAAGCATTTAGAGGGCCCTATTACTTAGAAAGATCTCGAATTTTCATGAATGCCAGTTGTAGTCCTTAAAAAATTATTTAATTAATAATTCAAAGTTCTAAGCATCCCAATATAGTATTATTCACCAATTATGTGCTCTCATCTACATAGATTATGTGGTTATTGAGTAAAATATTATGTGCATGGCTCTGCTTAAAATATTTCTGTCACTCTATTGGTACAACACACATATCTGGCTTAAATAATAAGCTACTTCCTCCGTCCTATTTTATTCGATACTGTTTGACTTGACATGATCATATTTAAGAAAAGGAAGAAAGACTTTTGAAATTTGAGATAAAAAACAATCCTGAATATCTATGTGGTTGTAAATCATTATTAAAGTTAAATTGTTTTGATAATACACACAGAATAATGCTCCACAGAAAAAGAAAAAGAAACCATATTTCAAATTTGATGGTAAATTCTGCGTAAAATGCATACGTTTGCTGGTCAATTTAAAATGTAGACAATAAATGTATTTTTGGCCAACACTAACTTTTGGACAAGTAGTTAATGATCCAAGTATTAATTTATGTGAGCATTTGTTAAATTTATTTTACAATCTACTCTATTATATACGTGGACACATTTGAGTGTGTGTGAGATTATGCATTCGTTAATTAATTAAGTGCTACTAATTGTACTTATTTGCATAATCAACAATCTAGACTTAATTTTATAATTCAAAAATCCTTTGATGACACCAAAACCTGCGACATTAGCCTAAAATTGTGCCTATTGTAATGTGATTAATAAAATATTAGTAGGTTGTTAATATGATCTACTTGGTTAATTCTATATATTACATATTTTTCAATTTCTAATTCTATGAAGTATTTCCTTTATTTACTTACAAATTCCACTTTAATAGCAATAAATTGCCACCAACAAGGATTGTGGTGGAGTGGTAAGTACTCCTTCATCCTTAACCAAGAGGTCTCGGGTTCGAGCCCTTGGGTACGGAGTCGCCTTTGTTACGAAGCACTTTACCCCCAATGTGGGACTTTCCGGCGCGAATCCAGATTTAGTCGAGCTCCAATGTGGGTACCGGACACCGGATGGGAAATTAAAAAAAATGCCTATTTTCTTCTCTAAAATTACCAACTCATGAGAATAGCGTAAACACTGAAAACAAGCAAGCGAAAGGAGCAAGAGCGCTTTTGAGTAACAATTCCGCTTATAACGAGTTTAACATAACTCAATAATTTTAATTTAGATTCTACATTTGTGATTAAAAAATGATTTGATATATATAAATAATTTATTTAAAACTCAATATAATAAATTTAAAATTTTAGTTCCGACTTTATTAGTGGAGAGAGGCCGGATAGGGTTGAGTCAAAATAAACCGCTCGCATGGGAAAGGAAGGAATAGCAAATCTCAGTGCATCTATAAAATAATGTTTGGTCCAATATAATTAGTTTACCAAAGTTTATTGTAATGATTGGTTTAAATTAAGGATAAATTAATATAGAGGGATATGGAATTATGTGAGGCAGATAAAAATGGAAGAAAGGGAAGATATGTGCTGTACATATATATTAAAAAAAATATATACTCCTATATTGCATGGTCATTGAGTAAAATATTATTATATGCATGGCTCTGTTTGAAATGATAGTGTCCCTCTCTTGGTACACCATACAAATATAATGTTTTTTTTTATTTTTTATAATAAGGTGGGATTTCTTAAAATAGTAACAAAAAAGTGCCATCCACAAGCGCTTTAATTTGGTCTTGCTCCCACAAATAGCCAACAAAACCTATTAAAAAATAGATTTAATTTCGAAGAATAAGATGAAGATTATTATTGTTCAGGGTTAGTTATATATATTGAAGGGTTTGTTGGAAAAATTGAACAGCTCACCACAACATGAGACTTATTTAAACTACATTATATGGTTCACGAAAGAGTATATAATATTTGACTATATGACTCAATTATTATTATATGAAAATTTATAAATTTCTGAATCCGTCTATGCACCCCGGTAAAACAACACATCTCCATTTCTCGATAGAATCCACCTAAATAATTGGACATGTACTACCTAATTCGAGTATTTGCATGAAATTAAGCATTAGTTTGTTAAATTAACTACCAAACCTACTCTCTATAATTATCATCTGACAAGTAACTTCCTGTTTTAGTATATTCGATTTCAAAATATTTATAATTTAATTATTTTTCTTTCAAGATCGTACGATTTTCTTGAGAATATATATTACATGTATCTTGAATTGTTGAAATGGAGGTTCTTTTACAATTTGCAAGACACAAGTCATAAATAATGCTTAACTTAATAAGAAGTAATTATGATGTAACCATCTGTTAATTAAATGTCAAACTTGCTCTATAATTACTTTATATTCTGGACAAGTGGTTGCCAATTTGAGGATTATGTGTTCCTTAATTAAGTACTAATTGTACTATTCTGCACAATCAGCATTCTAAACACAATTTAATAATCTAGAAATACCTCCACGTACAACACCAAAATCTGAAGATATTACACAAAATATTGGGTTGAACACTTTCAATGTGATTAATATACACCGTTAAGTATCTCTGCTTAAGATATATTATGTATTTAAATAAGAAATATTATGCAAAGTACAGTAATTTATATATATATAAGGGATCGTTTGGTTGGTGTATTATCATAACCAATCACAACATTAAAATTTCCATAAAAATAACAAAATGATTGATGTATATACATACTGCTTAAGTTCATCTTAACTCAGTATATACAACGAAAAAAATAAATTTATGCATGAAAATTCATTAAAATCATAATAAATAATACTACTATATATGGACCTATAACTTTAAAAAAAACAATAAATTTCATTAATCATAACTAGAAATCTTAAAAATTGAACCTATAAAATTTAAATTTTGACTCTACCTCCGAAATTACTTAGTAAAGGTAGTATGTAACGCCAAACAATCCCTAAGGAGTGAGAAGGGGACACAAGCAAAGAGCTTTTTTTTTTTTTTTTGAGGGGGGGGGGGGGTGGCGGCAAAATGAACAGCTTGCATGAGAAATGAACAGCACAAATCATACTGGATATTAAAATAATATTTGACCTAAATCTTAATATAGGGGCTATATGTTATCTTATGTGAGACACAGATAAAAGAGAAAACACTATACTTTTGCACATGAGTTGTATATTTAATTTATTATGAACTTTTGAATTTCACATGAATAAATATTACCTTTCCACGTCTAAAAATAATACCATCATCATATATAGTAGGCGCCCGACTTCTTGTGACTCAAATCAAAATACTACAAATTAAATCTACAATCCTTTACAGCACACCACGTGTCCCTATCTCCACGTGTCTCGATCTTACAACTTTTGCCAAATCTCTTCTGTCCTTTTTCTTCCCATTTTTTTTTTTTTTTTGGGGGGGGGGGGGGTGGCGGCAAAATGAACAGCTTGCATGAGAAATGAACAGCACAAATCATACTGGATATTAAAATAATATTTGACCTAAATCTTAATATAGGGGCTATATGTTATCTTATGTGAGACACAGATAAAAGAGAAAACACTATACTTTTGCACATGAGTTGTATATTTAATTTATTATGAACTTTTGAATTTCACATGAATAAATATTACCTTTCCACGTCTAAAAATAATACCATCATCATATATAGTAGGCGCCCGACTTCTTGTGACTCAAATCAAAATACTACAAATTAAATCTACAATCCTTTACAGCACACCACGTGTCCCTATCTCC